CCTGCCGGCTCCTCCCCCCGCCGCCCTGCGCTCATAAAGCCCCGCGCGCGCCCGGGCAACCGCGGAGGCGGCGGCGCCGGGACCCCCCTCCTGCCGGCTCCTGGGTCTCGGGGGGGGGGGGGCGAGCGAGATGCCCCCGATTCCCGGTGCGGGCCCGGGGCGCGGCCGCACCCCTCACTCACAGCCGCGCGAGGGCCGGGTCGCGGGAACGCCCTCCCGGAATGAAGCGCTTCCCGGTGCCTTCAAGGTAGCTCGGTTCCGGATCAGGAACCCTCCCCAGTCCTCCCTCTCAGGCGCCCCAATCCAGATTTTAAAAGATCCCCCAATCTCCTTGGGTCGGGTTTGAAAATAGCCCCAGTGGCCCCCAATCCCCACCGGTTCCAAACGGTAAGAATCTCATTCTCGCAATCGGAGCGAGAAGCCGCCCTTGGAGCCCCCAATTTCTTCTTGGACCTAATTTAGACTCCCCCTACAGCGGCCTCCTGTCCACTCCTGGTTTCCCACCTCCAGTTTGGGGAGCCCACTCAGTGCCTCGCGTCTCGAGTTGGGAGCCTCCATCAGCACCCCAGTCGAAACCGGGTCAGTTTTCCTCATCCCTCCTCAGCCCTTGCTGTAGGATGCCCCACAACTCCCCTAAATCCCTCTCTCCATACCTGGCCCCTGTGGTCTGTAGGCAGGTCCCTTGCCTAGAGCCTGGGTTCGCATTTTGCCGCCACCCCACCCCTTAGTGTGAGCAGTTTACCCCGCTTCACTCTTTCAGCCTCATCCAGACCCTGGAGTCAAGAAACCGGGTTCCAGACGCTCGCCGCTCGGTCCCCAGCGAGACTTGGGGGGAGTCGGTGTCCCTTAGAGATTCTCCTTTCCAGCGTGGGAGCCCGATGACGCAGCTGTGTACCTTCCCTTGGAATGACCCCCTCTTTTGCAGAGTTCTAGCTCCCTCCAGTCTGATCAGAAGAACCCGAGTTACCTGCCCACCGCGTTTGGAGTTAACTTCCCTCAGTAACAACTCTGCCTCCATGAAGGCAAAGTCTTAGCTTTCCTCCCTCTGGTCCCTGGGATCTCCTCCCCTTCCAGTGCTTTCACCCAAGTTATTTCACCCCATCCCTAAAACTGCCCCCCACCGACCTGGGAAGATTGAAAATCTAGCTCTCCAAGGGAGGCGGAGTCCATGCTCCTTATCCAAGTCCAACGAATCCTTTCACTTACATGGTTGAAACCAGCCAAGAAAGGGTCAAAGCAGAAGGCTGTCGCGACTAACACCTACTTCCATCCGTATCCTTGCTATGGGGTCTCAGTGCCACACAAGCCCCTCCTTCACACTTTGTATTCCACTACTTTCCTCCCGGTTCCTAAGTCCACCCCCTGTGACCCAATGACCACAAACTCTTGGCTGCTCACCTTCACAGACACCTGTACTCTAGTACCTTCTGTTAACATGTGCCTCAGCCCTGGGCATCCTAACCTGGAAGTGCCTGTCCCTTTCTTTCTCTTAGCACCCCACCCCCCATCCCCAACCACCACACATAGGAGACAGTGAGAGACTCCTGTTAATGGTTCCCTTAGGGACCTTGTGGGAATGCTTAGCAGGTATATCCTGCCTCCCGGTGAGCATAACACTACAAGCAAACTTGCTTTTTCCTGTTTGTCTCCTTTTCTCCCACAGTTTTTCAGCATCCCCTGGATTGGGAGGGGGGGTAGAGGACACCCTACACAGGTCCATTTCTCACTGGCTCAACAGAAGCTGGGATATCAAGTGTGTCCTGAAAGACACAGATGAGGGATCAGCAGGTAACACCCCACATCCCCCAGTGTTAATGATCTGATTTTTCCTAGATCTGAACTTGAGGGTCCTTGTATATAAAATGGGGTTCTTGGAAAGATGCCCGGAGGGTGGCGGTGAAGTGCCTGTGAACATTGATTTGTGTGCTGATGCCTTTGGCAGGTAGGTGTCTTGGAGGATAGGAAATGGTAACATCATTTGTTCAGAGCCAGCCAAGACTGTAAGTAGCTTGGGATAGGATCCTTTTGTAACATCCTCATTCAGAACCTTGGAGTGGGAAGCATCTATTTCCTTTTGTCAATAACTAGTTTGTAGCATAGTAGCCTGTGGGTGGACTCAGGTCCCCTCACTGCAGGTCCACTGCCACCTGGCAGGTTCAGTTCACTTTGTTCACGCAAGGAGTAACAAATCCTTCTCAAGGTGGCCCTCCCAGGACAATGCAGCTGTAAATTCATGATCCTCAGTAAACTGAGGATCTGAGCAGTATTAAGAAAATATGATCCTTTGAGCAATGGGCCCAGACACTAGAACTGGGGGATTAGAGGATGTTGTTCGAGCTCTTTCTCCCTCATACTACAAACACAGAGCTCACACAGAGAATAAAGAATAATTTGTTGGGCTGGAGAGACAGCTCAGCGATTAAGAGCGCTGACCACTCTTGCAGAGGACCCGGGTTCGATTCCTAGCACCCACATGGTAGCTATGAACTGTCCTTAACTTCAGTTCCAGGGGAATCCGAAGCCCTAATCTAAAGCCCTCTTTTGATCTCTGCAGCATTGCAGGACACGGGTGCACTCACATATATGCAGGCAATACACTCATACACATAAAATAAAAATAATAAAATATTTATTTTTTTAAAAAAAGAATAATTTGCTTTATAATTTTTTTTCAATCCTCTTGAGAAAGACATTGGACAAATGACATTACACTGGAGTGCTGAAATGATGCAACTTGTCTCAAATATTTATCGAACACTTTTTACCTTCTAGGTACACTTTCTACACAATCCTAGGTACTATATTCTCAGCATCTACCATGTCAAAGGTTGATTTTTACAGACAAGAATCAAATGAATGGTAGTTCTGTTAAGTGCTGTGGCGAAGGAAGGAGGTAGGGAGGTTGGTAGGTATAGGGGAGAAGGTGATATGCAAGTGTATTTATTTATTTTGGAGATAGTCTCAGCAATGGAGCCCAGCCTGACCTGGAACTCATGATCCTCCTGCCTCTGCCTTTCAAGTCCTAGGGTTACAGGTGTGAGATACCATGTCTGGTTTGATATGCAATTACAATGTTTTATTACATTTTATTCTTTTTCTCTGTATGTATGTGTGTGTACATGCATACATGTGTGCCATGGTGCACTTGTGGAAGTTAGAGGACAACTTTTGGGAGTTGGTGTTGGTTCTCTTTCCATCATGTGGGTCCTGGGAATCAAACTCAGGTCATCTGTCTGGGCAGCAAGTGCCTTTACCCACTGAGTCATTTTACTGGCTCTTGATAGTGCAATTTTTTTTTCTTTTGGAATACTGGATCTCACTATGCAGCCCTGGCTGGCCTGGAACTTGTTGTGTAGACCAGACTGACTCTTGAAATTTATCCTCTGATTTCTGTGCCCATATGCTCAGTCACAATAAATAAATAAAAGATTTAAAAAACATTTTTTCTGTGTTTTCACTCTTTGAAGAGCAATACTCAGGTAATGCCCTGGATAAACCAGAACATCCCAGTTTTCATAAAGAGAAAGAAAATTTTACTTTAAGCTGATTAGGAGCTCTTCACTTATAATCAACCCCCCTTCTATTCTTTTTTTCTTTTATTTTTTATTTTTTATTCTTGTGTATATATACATAGGAGGAGTGCATGTAGGGGGGGGTGGGAGTACATTTATGTGCAATTTGTGTGGAGGCCAGAGGACCTCATCCTCTGTACACAATCCACATCCTTTGGGGCAATGTCTCTCATTGCCAGAAACTCACCTATCAGGTAAGACTAGCTGGCCAAGGACAGGCACTTCATGTACACCATCTACATCCTTTGGGACAAGGTCTATCATGGCCAGGGATTCACTATCAGGTAAGACTAGCTGGCCAGGGGCAGGTACCACACCCAACATTTTTATGAGGTATTGGGGATCTAACTTGGGTCCTCATGATTACAAGGCTAACATTTTACTGACTGAGCTATCTCTTCACTCTTTTTGTTTTGAGACAGGGTCTCATGTAATCCAGTTTGGTCTTGAACTCCTGATCACTCTGTCCCCACCTCCCAAGTGCTGGGATTACAGGTGTACACTACCATGCCTGGCTATATAATCTGTCCATTTTATAACCTTCGCTCACTTAAAAAGTAAAAAAAGGCATAATTTTTAGAGTGGTTTTAGGTTCACAGAATAATCAGAAGAGACAGAGATTTCCATAGATGCCTCTCCACTACACATGGATAGCATCCTCATGTCAACATCCCCCACCAGACCACTACATCTGTAACAACTGGCAAATGTATGTTGACACATTGTCACTCAAACTCCATAGCTTGCATCTGTGCATAGCATTTTTGTGGTATACATTCTATGGGAATGGAAAAACATATGACGTGTATCTACCATTATGATGTCAGAGTGGTTTCATTACTCTGAAAAATCCTCCATGTTCTGCCTGCTCGCCTTTCCCTTTCTCCTGGCCCTAGAAACCATTGATCTTTTTACCGTTTCCATAGTTTCACTTTCTCTGGAACGCCATACTGGTGGAAGCATATAGTAGGCAGCCTTTTCAGATTGGCAACCTGCCATTAATAATATGCATTTAAGGGCCTTTATTTCTTTTCAGGGATTGATACTCAAAAATCTATTTGTTTATTA